CAAAAAAAAAAAAAAAAAAAGAGCTTTTCCTATAAATTGGTATTTTAGTTTTAATTGCCATTTCTACTAAAGCAAGAACTGAAGCTTCACGGCAACACAGTCACACAGACTGATTTGAGTTCTGTGTTTATGGAATCTTCTGAGAGATCGTGATGTTAAACCAGAACCCTGAGACCAAGGGATTTGAAACGCAAGTATTTATTGAGCCGTTACAGATGCTACACAAAATCCAACCAGGCCCTGGGCTGAGTTCCCAGCACTTTCAGCAGTTGGGCTAGATAGTGGTCGGAAAATGTCTGCTGGACTAGAGCTGAGAGTATTTTTGTAACGAAAATTTCGAGAAGGAAATCATAAATTGTTTGTATTGAATTTATCTTGGCTCTAGATGAAGGGTGGGGTAATGCAAAGGGGGGACGTTTTGGGATAGGAGGGGAGTCCATAAGAGTTCTTGTCGCTTTTGAGTTTGCTCGTTTATAAGCCAGATAGGGTCAGGATTGGATTTGCGTTAAAGTGCTAACGTATATTCAGAATGCAAAGTGGTCGTCTGTTGGTTTTGGCCCTTAATGATTAACTGATTGACCTCCCCCATTTCTCTTCCAGCATTGGTAATTATATTTAGAGCATCTCAGCATTTTGCTTTTATCAGTGAATATCTAATGAAGATACCCATGACAGACCGTCCCTGGATCATGTCTTTCAGTGTCCCTTGCTAGCTCTTCCTCTCTGGCCGTTACCTGTGTTTCTAAACTGAATTCCTCAATCCCTAATCACTTTTCATTTCCAGTTTTATATCCGGGCAACCCTTAGAAGTGGGAGTGACTTAAAAAGGGAGAAAAAGAGGCGTGGCACTGATGTTGGGCTCCCTGGGTACCAGGCTGTTTTCACTGCTTCATGTAACCCTACTATGGCTTTCCCTCTTCTTCCTCTTCCTCTTCCCCTTCCTCTTCTTTCTTCTCTTCCTCTTCCTCCTCTCCCTCCCCTCCCTCTTCTTTGTTTGTCAGATGTAGGAAAATGAGTCTGAAAGAGAGAAGGGGCTTATTGGAGGCCCTGGATTCCAAGCCAAGCCTGCCTCATTTCAGGGCAGGCCCACACTTTCCCCCAGCAGTAAGGGCCCTGGTAGTGAGTCAGCAGGGTTTTCAGATGCCACCTGAGCAGCGTGGAATGCTGCTGTGTGGCTACCCCGTCCTCAAAACAGTGTCCTATGGATGGACATTCAGGGTCTATACCTTTCCACATTTATTGTCATCAGTATCCTTGTACATCAGATTGCGTGCATATGCACTTTCAATGGAATATCTTATTTGAAGTAGAATTTCTGAGTCAGGCTATGTGCTCTGGGAATTTGGAGAGCCATTGCCAAACAGTCCATTCATCTCTTTATAATTTCTCTGTTGATTGCATTCATGTATTGAACGAATTGTGGAGCTCTGGTCATCTGCCAGCACAGCTGTGGGCTGGAATCCTGTAGTGAATGGGACAGCACCTGTCCTCCATCTGCCCAGCATATATCTTAGTGGCACAGATAATGTCAGGTAAAAGATGTTTGGAAGAACGGAACATCAGTGGTGGAGGGCCTGGGGAGGTATTGGTTACAAGATACAAAATTTCAGCTAGACAGGAGCAAGTTTAAGAGGTCCAATGTACGGTGAGGTGACTACAGTTAATATGTCATACATTTGAATTTTGCTGAGAGTAGATTTTAAATGTTCTCACTACACACAAGAAAAATTTAAGTATGTGAGGTAAGGCAGAGGTTAATTAGTTTGATGTAGCCATTTGATAACATATACATAAGTCAAAACATATGCTAGTTTTAAGAAAACCAAATCAATAAAAGGGAATCAGCGATTTAGCTCAGTGGTGCCTCACTTGCCTGCTAAGTGCAAGGTCCTAAGTTCCATCCCGGGTACTGCAAAAATAAATAAATAGGAATAGGAATCATCCAGAATAACGGAAGTCAGAGTGACAAGTAGTCACAACATATACATATGAGCAGAGGCCTGAAAAGAGAAGAAGGAAATGAACTTTCCAGAAGATGCTGGAGACTGGTAACCGAAAGGCCCTGAGGTATGAGTAGATCTGTGAGAGGAAAAAACAAACTCGGTTTCAGTTTCCCCCACTGTCTCTCACAACGGCTCTGACACCAGCTGTGGGCTGCAGGGTCGTCTGCAGCAGACACCGCCGTGGTTCAGCTCAGCTGTGACACTGACTGATTGTTCCCTCCCTCCTTCATGTGCCACTCCAAAGCCACAGGTGATTTTATCCCTGGACAAACGTGTTCAGTTTTCCAGAAGCTCTTCAAACCCCATCTTTTTAGGTTTTTAGGGACTTCACTATATGGGCATGATTGATTCTATCATTGGCTATTGCCAGTTAATTCAATCTTCAGCCCCTCTTCCTTCCCTGGAGGCTGAGGGTTGGGGCCGAAAGTCCCAGTGACCACCTCTCACCCTGAAGCCTCCAATTGACCACAATCAGCTCATTAGCATAAAAAAAGATACCATCACTTGGGAGAGTTCGAGGATTTTAGGGGTTTTAGATATAGGTTCTCACTGTGTTACTGGGCTGGTCTCATCATATTCCTGGGCCCACATGATCCTCCTGCCTCAGCCTCCAGAGCAGCACCTCTGGGCTCAAAGACCAAATATGTATTTCACAAGATCACAGAATAGCTCTTCAAGGATTGTCAAGGTGGCCGGAG